AAAAGATAAAGCAAGATAGGGACAAATCTAGATGTGGGCTATAACTAGAAGAATTTGGTCTTCTAGTCATTCTAGACATATGACTCAGCCATACACTGGTCCTTTGCAAATACTGTCATCAAAAGTAGATTCACAAGTGACAAGGATGCTGCTTTGGCAACTTCCTGGATGTTCATTTGGGACTCTTTCACAGTGGCTAGACCCTGTTATATGACAGGTCTCTTTCAGTTTTATTAGAAGTAGGAAATGGAAACAAATTAAGGCATGAATGTCCTTCACTGGCTGGACTCTTCCTCGGAGATAGACATGATAGTGTTCAACCCACTAATCCTAACTTTGATATCTCTCTCTCTCTCTCTCTCTCTCTCTCTCTCTCCCTCTCCCTCTCCCTCTTTCTTTCTTTTTGTGGCTTATTTTGATTTTTTTTAAGGCGGGGTTTCCATAGATAGCCCATTTAGACTCAAATGCTCAGCAATGCTGAGTATGAAGGTTACAGATATATATCACCAAGCTTATTAATCTTAGTATTAAAAAACAAACAGCAACAACAACCAAAAATAAAAGACAGCCATGAATTTGGGTCTATTACCTTCATTCACAGGTTCACAAACTACCCTATATGGAGCTCCTACTTCTTGGTCAGGCACTAGGTCTGGCACTGTGCTTAGAGTAACCATCAAGACAGCCATGCACGGTACCAGCAGGTTCCAGGCGTAGGTGAAAATGTACCCTGAGTCTCAACTGCTATGGTTTGGATGTGGCGTGAGCCTGTCTTACAAGGCTTCCTTGGTCTGCAGCGTGGATGGGTTGAGATGATGGGGTCCAATGATGGGGTTCCAGCGCAGAGCGATTACATCACAGGCTCTGCCATATATATATATGCATATATATATTTAACAGTAAGTTGGGCCTTGCCCAGGTCTTTCCTCCCAGCGTACAGATTTGCCTCTTCTGTTGTCTGCCATGCTGTAAAGCAGCCCTCACCAGGCCTCGGGCTCCGTGCTGTGCAGACGCTTCAGCCACTGGGACTGTGAAGCAGACAAATCCCATGGTATGCAGTTTAACACATTCTGTTCCAGCGACACAAAGTGAACCAAAATACCAACTGTGGCGTGAGAGAATCACAAAGTCTCAGGGATGTTGTATCCGTTTTCCTAGAATCCCAGCGGTCTTTAATGGGAAACAAGGTTTTAGAAGGACCTCAAGCCACCCAAAATACTAACAGGGGTTCTTTAGAGTGCTTGTGAACAGCAAAGAAAGAAACAACAGGCTCTCAGTGAAATAATTTATGTTCATGGATGAATGCCATCAAGCCTAAGTTAGAAGGAACCTATAAAAAGACATCTGTGGGAGTTTAGGTATGGACAGAAAATACCCTGTCCCATCTGAGGCCTCTACTGTCCACGTGCACAGACACACACCTGCTGTTGCTCAGCTCTTACGGGTCACTTGCCTAAAAGGGCCCCTCGGACACAGAGCAGCCTAGGCATTCCTGTGTCAATATTGTTCTGAGAGCTGGCTAGCGCTACTTGACATGCTCTTTTCAATCAGGTGGCCACAGGACCAGCCTGGCAGAAGTGTTCAAGAGATGGCAAGGGGGTCCCCTTTCCTGTTCTTCTTTTGGAAGAGAATTGTGGTGCCACAATCCAGAGAAGGGAAGCTCAGCAGAGAAGAAGGGCCCCTGACTGTGCTAAAGGTTTAGTTACACAAAGAGAAACTGTTGCCTCTGGCCCTAGAGTAGAGAAACATGGACAAGGCTGAATATGTGTCTCGGGGGCAGAGTACCTGCCCGGTATGCACAAGGCCATCTTATCCCCAGCACTGGGAGTAGTGGGCAGCAGAAAATGAGCCTCCATGGAGGAGACAGTACCTAGAGGGTACGTGTGTTTCCAAAGACTGTTATTTTAAAAAATGGCCATACCCTAAGTGGCTTAAAGTAACAGATATGCATTATATCACAGTCTGAAAGTCAGAAATCCCAAATCAAGGAATTGGCAGCTTTTCTTTTCTTTTCTTTTTTTTTCCCCAAAACTTCTAGAAGAGACCCCTCCCTCCTGGTCCAGCTTCTGGTAGCTGAAAGAGTTCCTTGGCTGTGGCTTCATCCTACCTCCTATCTTTGCAAAGCTTCTTCTCTGTGTGTCTTCTTCTGTCTCTTCTAAAGACAACTGTCCTTGGACTTAAAGCCCAGGTAGATAATCCAGATGCTTTCATCTTGAAGTCCTTAACTGCATCTGAAAAGCCTTTTCCAAAGAGGGCCACATTCCCAAGTTCTAGAGGTTGGGATGAGTCTTCAGAGGTAGAGGCTACTGGTCAACCTGCTGCAGAGGACCCCCAACTACAGGCTGCCAGTGCCAACTTGACACAACAGGCACAATGACATACATGTGTTCTCTATATACGGACGCATATATACAAGATGAGCAAAAGCAAGACTAGAACACTCAGGTGTTAGGGGGAAAAAAAAGGTGGAAACAGACCACTTGCTTTTCTTAAGACTTGAGAAGCACACTTCAGTGGCACACTATGAACCCAAACTAAAGTCCTCCTTACTTCTCCATACCTCAGGTTCCTGGTCTGCAACGTGGAAAAGAGCAGCCCTTTCCCAAAGGAGGGATTAAGTGAGTAATGCCTTGCTTAGAAAAGTAAAATAGTACTTAACAAATGTCAGCTACCACTGCTATTGTCTGTACCCTCCATCTTCCCATGCTGCCTCTGAACTACCACCCCTCTTTCCTCATAGCCCTATTTGTACTGCTGCTCACTGAGCAGTCAAGGGTGACCTGAGTTCTTGTTTGTATTTTTAGAAAAGACTGACTATATAGCTAAACTTGAACTAACTCTAGCTGTTGCAAGCTTGGAGAAAAAAATATATTGCTTGCCACAAAAACCTTTCAGTACATGACAGGACATGTGAAGCAAGTATATAGTTTATTTGTTTCTATTTTCTCTGTGTTCTATCTTATTTCAGAAAGGACTCAAGTAGATATTCAATTACAGTCATATTAAATTCAAAATAAACAGGGAGGAGAAAGAATAAGATTTAAGTGGAACCTGAAAAGATAAAATGAAACCAGAAGTTGTTGGTTTTTTTTTTTTTTTCCTCCACAATATCTTTTTCACTCATTAAAACAGGCCACAATCTGCTCTCTGGTTTTCATTTCTTACACCTGGTACAAAAATAAAGCCTGACCCATTAAATTATTCACCATGTCCTTAAGATTCAAAGATGAAAGGGAGTAGAGCGGAGAAAAAGAAAGAGAAAGAGGCATTTGCTCAGAATTCTTGGTAAAAGAAAAAAATATTTTTCTCCCTTGGGCCTCCTTAGAGAAAGCATAATGTGCTCTACTTAGCTGTTCCTCTAGACAAGGGGTTCTCAACCTGTGCGTCCAGACCTCACTGGGGTCACACATCAGATATCCTGCACATTAGGCATGTACATTATAACTCATAATAATAGCAAGACTACAGTTATGAAGTAGCAACAAAATTATGTTATGGTTGGGGGGTGGGAGGGCCACCACAACCTGAGGAACTGTATTAAAGGCGAGCAGTGTTAAGAACGGAGAGAACCGCTGGACTAAGCCGGAACTGCACTTTTAGGTTAACAACAAAATTGCCCACATTATCTTGCCCTGATTCGGTACTAACAGGCAGAATCCGTTCAATTGAAAGTGTTGAGGTTAATAGAGGGCATGTGTGCAGGTGCGTGCGTGCGTCTGGGGAAAGGTAAATTATTAACCATGACTTTGTTAGGGGAGGGAGGCACACAAGCAGGGTTTCCTGTAAAGTTCGTTTGTTTATTTGTTTGTTTTCTGAGACAGGGTCTCGCTGTGTGTCCCGGCTGGCCTGAAACTCACTCTATCAACCACACTGGAGATCCCCGCCTGACTGTCCCTGCCTCCCAAGGTCTGGAATTACAGGCAAACGACACCACAGCCAGCCTGACAGTACTTAAGGAGAAAAGAGCAAAAGTTCCTTACATAACGAGCTTTTTAAAGGGCGGTGGGGGGGGGGGAGGTGGCTGAGCAGCACTCAGAAGGCAGAGGCAGATGGGTTTCTGTGAGTTCAAGGCCAGCCTGGTCTACAGAGTGAGGTCCAGGAAAGCCAGGCTATGCAGAGAAACCCCTCTCAAACAAAACAAAGCAACAAAAATGAAAACGGTTTTAAAAGTTAAGATCCTCCACTCAAACAAACAAACAAAAAACCAATACCATGGAGCCCCTGTACCCTTTAGTGCTTGAAAAGTAGGAGAAGCAGAGACGGGATCTGAAGGAGAGGGACTGTCAGAGGAGAACAGGCAACAGGAGCCTTACAAAGTCATCTGGAAACCAAACTAGCAGTCAGGTTGAGGTGATGGTCTGAGAAGATGACAAAAAAATTTAAAAAATGATTAAAATGTGACTGTAAAGACCTTGCAGGCGAAAAGTGAGGTTAGCCAGACCCGAAGTCTCCACTTTTCAGGGAACGTGTGCACAAGGAGAACAGCCCTGCTGAAGCTGTGAGCTCCACACTGGACTTTAGACTTTCACTACCCATTATATCTTTATGTACTTATCTACCACAAAGATAATCACATTAAAAAAAAAAAAGTCAATGACAGTTAAAACTAGAAAAACCATCAGCGTTATGGCCTCCTTCATGACGCATGCGTCCACTGCCCAAATTCCATCTCTCCTTATCACTTAAAATTCACCCTTTCTCTGTGCCCCACTTTATTTCAGAAATGTGGCCAAAACCTTTTTGCTATGACAAATTTGTGTTTTGTAATCATTGTTATCGGGCTGTTTCCTGTGTGAAGATTCAGATCACAACTTCATTTGGAAGTCCAGTGGGCACACTTTCAGCAAAAAAACACCCAACCTCCCCGTCTCTTCTCCTTTCCCTTCTTTCCTTTTCCTCTTCCTCTCTTCCTCTTTGTCTCTCGTCTTTTTCTTAGTCTCTCACTTCCCCCCAACACGGATACACTCATACGCACATATACACACACCCAACACACTTACCTTGTTCAGCCACTTTAGCCCTGGTATCGTATTGGAATTTATCTGTTCCTCCAGCCATGGGCGCATTCGCATTCTTTCCACTGGCATGGTGCCCTGTGATGGAAGAGAAGCATATCATATATTTGGTATTTCTGTGAGTGACTATCTTACCTGCACCACGAAGTTCTATACCCCTGGCACGACCCTTTCCTAGCCTCCTCCTCCTCCTAGGAAGGAGTTGAGGATATTCAGCTCTCTGCCATCTGTCTTCCACCTGTCCTGTTCTCTCAACAAATGTCAAAACAGACCAGGGCAGACAGTCTCTATGCTGACTCTCAGCTGAAAAAAGTTTTCATGGACATGGTATGCCACACACCTAACTAGCTGGAGTCCCAGACGGCTCTTAGTAACTGGGCCTCAAGGAAAGCTTTACCTCTCTCTTTGGACTGTGCTCATAGCAGAAACTGTCAACATATCAGACACTCAAGGACCAATATCTTACCTTCCGAAAGCCAAGCAAATGCCAGGCAAGTAGTTCTGAGACAAACAGCTATGGTAACCAAGGAATTCCTCACAGTAATTGGGAGTATAAATACTTTGCCCTCTCAATACTGGCACGAAAGCTCTGATTAATTTTGGTTCACTGAAGGTTTGTTACTGCCTAGGCAATCATCCCTTCTAGACTTTATGTTCAGAGCTCACTAGCACCTTCCCCTGTTCTCGTCTTTGCTTCCACGTCTTCCCTAGCACAGTCTCTTAGTCACGGCATCCAGTATTTTCCTTCAATACTAGCCTCCCTGCTCTGACCAGACAGCATGCCTTTTCCCTTTGAAAAATCACTTACATGGCTGGAATATCTTTCCTCCACCAATGCCTCCCCACAATCCCCACTGAGTCTGTAGCTGTCTCTCTTTTTCCCACCCAAACACGGCTACTGTGGAATCACCCATAAAGCCACTCCCAACTCTCCACTCTCATATCAGCACATTTACATTCAGCCTGACACCTGAAATTAAAGGCGACATCGACTCAGGCTTCCACTCCACAAGATTTCGAGGACAGTGTGACATCATGGTCCTCTCTCCAACCTGTAACCGCCTCATTTCTTTAACTCCTTCTTCCCAAAACTAACGAAAAAGCGTGTACAGATGAATACGGGTCTTGATGATTCAGGGCTCATAATCCTCTCTACTGTCTTACCAAGCTCTCCCCTATGTTCTGCCTCACGCTAGTGCCAAGAGAACAAGCACCACAACATGAATCAGCAAGGGCCTCACCTTTATACGTGGGAGCCACTCACCTTTGCTCTGTGAGTGGCTCCCCTCCCAAAGCTCAAGTCCACTGTGCTTCTTGCTCACACCAAGCTCTTCCTTCCTCCTTGACCTTGTCAGTCTTCATCCATCTCCCAAGACCTAGCCTCTGTACTTCTTCTCAAAAAGGTCATTCCAGATCACTCCAGCCTGCAGTAACCCTTCCTCTTCCAACTCCCCCACCACTCACAGACCTTACCCTGATTACCTGAGGACCAGACATCACTGCAGGACATGTGTTTTTAGTCTCAGCTTTCATCTCATTTCTTATTAGGCCTAGAAACTTTTCAGCTGTGCACAGCCTCACTTCCCATGCACACTGTGGGCTCTTTCAGAGGATGAACTTCATTCCTTACAGTAAAATGTATAATCTTGTAAAGACAAGTCCGACCTTCTACACAGTAAACGTGCAACACAAGGACCAGGCAAGTTCTAAGCAAGCCAGGCAAAGCTGCCATGGAAGGGTGGTCTCGTGCAGCATCGGCAGGCGCCAGGAGGCTATTCTTTGGGACGGTGATAAAAAAAAAAATAGAGCTGCTTTTCCTGAATCTCAAATTTGTTCCATCCGTGCATTCATTCATTCACTTAACTCACTCATCGTCTATCCATTCGGAGACCTTGCTTTGGAAATGAGATTCTGGGAGTTGGGTATGATAAAACCTCTTGATTCTTACAGGACTCGGCACAGGAGGGAGTTAGAAACATGAAGGGTCCTGTGTACAGGTGTAGGGAGTTACCAAAGAGTCCCGGGAGCACTGGGAAAAGCTCTGCACACTGCTGCCCCCATAACGGTTCTGCCCTGCAGAGCGGTGACCGCAGCCTCCTCAGATCTTCCCTGAGGAGCTGGGGACAAAATGACAAAATTAAGGACAGTTCCAAGAGTCAAGAGTGGACAGCAACAGACCGCTTCTTCTGAGGTGACGTGGCGGAAGTGCTGCTGGCATGCCTAAACTCGGTGGCAGGGCAGCCTGAGCCGCACATGAGCAACCCTGCTTCCAGCGAAATCACCTCAGCACGTTTCTTCCCATGCTCCCGTTTCCTCCCATTTTTCCCCCCACAAATAACCTTTCTGAAAAAGAAATGATAATCACTTGAACTATTTCATGAAGCTTTCTCCCATTTAAGTAGCAGTGCATAAGCAGAGATAGCTGGCAGACATCATTTTCAAAGTTCTGTACGTGGGGATTATCTTACTAAAAATGTACTTGTATCTGCAAGACCCACCCTTACAATGCTTTCACGGTCTCACAAATTTGTGCAAAAGGGGAAAATGCAAGATGCCTGGCATGAATGCAGCCGGCTGAGGCCAAACAAAGCAGCAGTCCACATTCTTGCTGCCCCTCTCCCACTTGTATGACCTTTTTCACATCTCTGTGCTTTTTGTCGATCTTCGTCATTTAAAACACCCTCAAAAGTAGTGCTTGAGTACTGTGTTGTGTTTCTCTAAGCATACACACACACACACACACACACGGCCATGCACCACACACACACACACACACACACACAGAGCTGTATGTATGCTGTATGGAAAAAATACATGTAACCAGACAAGCTTACTCAAGAGACTCAGGCATGAGTTATATCAGCATTATATATGTTTGGATGTGAATTAATTTGGTTGTTGCTGTTTTGTTGTTGTTGTTCTGTTTATTTTTGAGACAGGCTCTTTCTATGTAGCCCTGGCTGCCCTGGAACTTGCTATGCAAACCAAACTGGCCTCAAACTCACAGAGATCTGCTTGCCTCTTCCTCCTGGGTGCTGGGATAAAAGGCGTGTGCCACCTTGCTCAGTGATAATTCACTATTAGTCACCAGGGTGTGCTAAATGAGGCACCATAAAGCATAAAGGCTAGATATATGCTAATGAAGATGTCCTACCAGAGTCTCCCTATACGCTGATGTCATCGTAAGAACGAACTGAAGAAGACAATGCAGCCACTCCTGATGAGACCTAATTGACTAGGGTCAGAAGGAAGGAAAAGAAGACCTTCCCTATCAGTGGACTTGGAGAGGAGCATGCATGCAGAGGGTGGAGGAAGGGAGGGATTGGGACAGGAGGAGGGAGAAAACCACAGGGGGGAAACAAAGTGAATAAAGTATAATTAATAAAGAATTTTTAAAAAAGAACGAACTGAAGACACAGACATACACAAAAAAAGCAACAAAGACTTGGCGAATATTCCTCCCCAACTAAGGAATTCCTAAGGCTTCCAGAATCTGGAAACAAACAAGCATGGAGCATCTCTCTCCTCAATCCTTCAGAGGAAGCAGGCACCTTGATACATACATACAGACAGACAGACAGACAGACACAAGAACCAACACAGGAAGGAGAAAACACAAAGACTTCAGAGGAAAAGGACAGCAACCAGTCAACAATAGTGAGGACTCAGGAGACCAGCCTGACCCTACAGGTCCTGGAAGGGCATTGTGCAACAGCTCTAATGCCAGAGAGAAAACTAATAAGCTCGTAGGTCCCTGGATTAAGGCCTGAGAAGCCAGGATCCAGATGCCCTTTTAATGTTTACATATGAGCTGCCTGGGTGTTCGGCGGCATCCTGCCATGTCTGGTCTTTCTGGCCGGCAGATCTTTTCCATGTATCTAATTGCCAGGCCATACTGCTTCATCTGTCTGTTGGCTCATCACTAAACAGGCATTCAGTTCAGCCCGGAGTCAAAGTTTATCTCTCTAGCCACGATACGATAGCTGATAGTTTGTTGGCTTTGTCCCTCAAAGGTTCCTAGGCTATAAACTTGGTTCCTAGTGTGGTAGGGTGAGGCGGTAAACCTTCAAGAGGCAGAGTCCACGGCTAGGCTATGGAGCCTCCAGTGTCCTGAGTAGATTCATGCTCTCTCTGGAACAGGTTAGGTCCTAGGGGATTGGATTTGCTCCCAACTGAATGGTGGTTGTGAGGGAGCTGGAAAAATGGCTCAGTGCTTCAGAGCGCCAGCTGCTCTTGCAGAGGACCAGAGTTTGGTTCCGAGCACACACACAGCAGCTCAGAAGTCTGCAGCTCCAGTTCCAAGGAATCTGATGCCTTCTTGTGGCTTCTACAGACACCGCAGGCAGGCAGGCAGGCAGGCAGGCAAATACCCACACACATAAAATGAAAATCAATCTTGCAAAGTGGGGTGCTTTCATGAGCAAGCCTTGCACGTCCCCTAAAACCTAATTCCAAACACCCTCTATCACTGTGGGGTCCGCTGTAGGAGGCCTCTCTACCACCTCCATGTGCCTGAACCTCCAGAACTAAAAACCTTTTCTTCATAAAGACCTAACCTCAGGTGTTCCGATTCAGGAACACCAAGCAAACTAAGACATGTGAATAAACATGTAAAAACACTTAAGAATTTTCTAAGATATATATTTGTTCTTTTCTTCCCACTGCATACAACACACGTTCTAAGACTATCATACACTGTAGTTGAAGGGGAAGAATCTTGTTCTTTTGGCTCTTTCCCCTGAGGATTCAGTTAGCCCTACATTCTAACAGAAGTGTCCTAGTATCTCTAATAGCTGCCTCTAAAAAAGTGAGGACATTATCTTTGCTTTTATAATTATCTACAAAAAAAAAAAAGAGCTAAATTTCTTCAGCCAGGGCTGGCTCATGGGGGAGGGGGGGACCCGGGGGGAGGGTAAACAAAAGTAGAAATAGAGAACTAACTGCACAAAGCTTCCCCCTGGCCACCACATCTGGACCAAGGCGCAGGTTCTTACCTTTGAATATGAGGAAAGGACTTTATGGTGTCTTTCGGGCAACCTCGCTACCCTTGCACTGTGAGCACAGCTTAAGTAAAATTAAGAGTTACTTGAAGGCAGACAATGTAACTGTAATCCTGGCACTTGGGTGGCAGAGGCAGGTGGGTTTCTGTGAGTTCCAGGCCAGCCTGGTGTACAGAGAGTCCAGGACAGCCAAGGCTAAGCGGAGAAACACTGTCTTGAAACACTCCTCCCCCCACCCCCAAAAGAGCAGACAATGTAACGCTGTGACAGCTGATCCCATGATCAATCACTAAGATGGCTCCATGACAAGCCGCCTATGCCACGGATGCACAGGATACATGGATGGCTCCCTGCCCACGTGGGACAGTGCCAATGGCAGCACTCCACTCAGCACAGCGTGTGATTTAAAACTTCATGACTCTTTATGGAATCTTACACTTAATATTTTCAGAACTCAGCTGACCCCAGGGCAACAGTAAACCACAGGAAGCAAAACCCACGATGAGGCAGAACTACTGTTTGGTTGTCTGCGCATGAAGCCATGCCAGGTACTCGTAGTGTTAACATGCCGCGAGCCGTCCCCATGAAGTTGACAATGCCATCATGCTGATCAGTGCCGTTGGCAACCATGTTTAATTTCCGGCTAAATAACTGAGACTTGGCTCTTCAGACAGTAATACAATTTTACAATGCTATTTACAATAGTAATACCATTTTCTGCTGTGCCAGGTATTGACACTAAAGTTTTGTTCAAGTCTCTTATTTAAATATTGTAGCCCTGGGAGACAGGGACTTGATGAGGACAAACGTAGGCCTACAGAGGGGTAGGTTGGAAAACTGCTGAAAGGCAGCCTGCTCTGGGAGCTGAGATTCTAAGAGGTCTATGTGATGGGGAAAGCCAGACTCTGATTCTTCCTCTAGGAAGCCCTTAGTTAGGAGGGCTTCTCTATTTGTCCTCCCTTCCTTCCCCGGTTTCTCTTTCTTACACACCATCAGCATACACATCTTCCTAAAACACAATAGAGATATCTAAACATCCCAGAGTCACATGCCGACTCCTGGGAGAAGACCCAGAAAATACAAACACAGGTCTTTAGCAGATGTAACAGTGTACAAAGACACACAGACCAAACGCCATCAGGCATTTATTTCAGACAGTCTCGCAATATGGACCAAACTCTCCTCAAGCTCACAGAGATCCACCTGTCTCTGCCTCCCAAATTCTGACTGAAAACCTGAACCACCACCCCTAGTCCTCAGGTAGTTTTTAAAACAGCTTTGCCTAAAATGTTTGGGACAGGCACAGGTGGAAGTTTTTGTCAAATAAACAATTTAAAATTTTTAATTATAGACTTAATGGATGTCATTAAAATTAAGAACTCAATGGATGGGCCTAAAAATACCTTGGATCCCGGAGTGGGGAGGATGAGGAGATCATATGTGGGTCAAAGGTAATATACAGAATGAAGCTGGAAGATAAAAACATTTAAGAAGAAGAGCATAAACTCCACAGAGAAAACACTGTAGAGTTTAAAATACGGGTAATCTGAAAGTCTACGAAGAGAAAAAGAGCAAGGAAAAACAATTCTTCAGAAGACCATACCAGACATTTTCTAATCTCACATTAGAAGCCATTAAAACCTCCAATGGGCAAACACAGATAAAAACCACAGCTAACCCAAAACCAGAGAAAATTCTAGAAAATACACCCAGGGACCAAAGACTCGTTACCTTCAGAAAAGCAAAATCAATCACAAAACATGCAGGTCCATAAGCTCACTGTTCCACAGAAGCAATGGCAAACAAACTCTTAGAAAGAAGTCTTTGGCCAGCATGGTTTAGTAGGCAAAGACCCAAGCTCCCAGCCAGATAGCTTGTTTTCAGTCCCCACAACACCACGATGGAGGGAAAAAAACAGCTCCTAACAAGGGGTCCTCTCACCTCCATGCATGCATTGTGGCTGTGCGCACACACACACACACACACACACACACACACACACACACACACACGGGGGGGGGGGGAGGATGATGCAAAAAAATAATTTTAAAGAAAAGCATTAAAGGAAATTGACAGCCTTATGAATCTTTTATTCCTTCAAGAATAAAGG